TTGCTTCTAAATGCCTGCATTTTAAAAATTTTTACATCAAGGAGAAAGCAATGTATTATTTGATATTTAATTATTGTTAGGTACATGCCAAAATCTATCAGTTTCAGAGATTACTGTTAAAATATTACATTCATTGGTAACTCAAAAGTTTCCCAAAATTAAACCCAGGGAAACTTCATAACCCAGAGAAACTTCAGAACACATTTAAAATATACTCCAGCTGAGAACCCAAAAGAATACTGTTGGACTGAACAAACCAACAAAAGTAACTTTTTCATGCATCTCAAAACTTGTTGAGGGAAGAAATGTGTCTCAAATAAAAGTGTGCATATTTTCAAGGCACATACTCTTTAGTCAATGGTGAAAATGCATAAATTAGATGAAATAAATGTGCACATCTGGAAAAACATACTATTAATGTACACTTCTCCATATAAAATGCATACAAAGCCTCAAAACACAATACATAACAAGAATGAGAAGAAATTAATCAAAGGCAGAATTCAAAAAAAGCTGTAAAATACTGAAAGATTTTCAAAGACCTAATGATAATTCTAATTTGACTTCAATCCAGATTAATTACAAAATGCTTCAGAATTCCATTCAGGGGTCTCCAACCTTTTTCACCCTGCGGACCGGCTGGGGAAGCCAAGGCACCCCTTGCACACGTACAAATGGTGGAACAGTGCCTGTGCGGGCACGCGCTCTCTTGTGCGACCATGCGCTCTCATGCACAAATGGTGGCTCAGCGCTCTCACTAGTGCGCTAGAGCGTGCATGCATGCGCAAACAAGCTCTGCGATGGTGAGTGCATGCGGTCTGTCTCCACGGCCCGGTCTGGCTCAGGCCACAGACCATCACCAGGCCGCGGATCAGCGATTGGGGACCATTGCCATATATGGCGTATTGGAACAAGTTCTTAAACTTCTTCAAACTGGAGATCTGGATCCTCTCAAGCTAAGCTACTGGGGGCCAAATGTTTCCAAGAATATCACCCGCAGTAATGTAGAAGGTTCTGGGTATCATTCATATACACCAGAGGAATCCAGGGAAGGAGAGGAAGTAGAAAGACCAATACTGTTCTTCTGTTTGACTAGTAGCATTTGGGAATTGCCCACAATCTTATTGCTCCAGCACAGCAAAATATACGAAAAGTCCTGCTGCGTTAGAATCGACCAGGGGTCTTGTTCCCCAGACAGCCACCAAGTTGTCCAGAGATGCTACAAAGGAAATAGCATCACATCTACCCAATTAAAGCCATTTAAAATAACTATTTTCCATGAATTTGACAGTTCTTACTGACCCATTTAAAACAATGATAATCGCATCTTGTAACACTGCATCATCATTTAATTATGTGTTAGGTAAAACACTTTCTATTATGAATTTCCAAATAATTAGTTCCATTGTTGTTTAGTCGTTAAGTCATGTCCGACTCTTCGTGACCCCATGGACCAGAGCTTGCCAGACCCTCCTGTCTTCCAGTGCTTTCCAGAGTTTGGTCAAATTCATGTTGGTAGCTTCAATGACACTGTACAAACATCTCGCTTCTCCTCTTGCCTTCGCTCTTTCCCATCATCAGGGTCTTTTCCAGGGAGTCTTCTCTTCTTATGAGATGGCCAAAGTATTGGAGCCTCAGCTTCAGGATCTGTCCTTCCACTGAGCACTCAGAGTTGATTTCCTTCAAAATGGATAGGTTTGTTCTTGTTGCAGTCTAGGGGACTCTCAAGAGTCTCCTCCAGCAACACAATTCGAAAGCATCAATTCTTTGGCAGTCAACTTTCCTTATGGTCCAGCTCTCGGACCTTTGTTGGCAAGGTGATGTCTCTGCTTTTTAAGATGCGGTCTAGGTTTTGTCATTGCTTTCCTCCCAAGAAGCAGGCATCTTTTAATTTCATGGCTGCTGTCACCATCTGCAGTGATCATGGAGCCCAAAAAAATAAAATCTGTCACTGCCTCCATATCTTCCCTTTCTATTTGCCAGGAGGTGATGGGACCAGTGGCCATGATCTTAGT